TCACACAGAAGAGATACAGATGGCAAATAAGCAGATGCAAAGATGCTCAAGGTCATATGTCATTGGAGAATTATAAATTAAAACAACAGTGAGATACCACTACATATCTATTTGAATGGCTGAGCCCCACATATTGGCAATACCAAATGCTAGCATATGAGCAATAGGAACTCATTTGTTGCTGATGAGAATGCAAAATGGTACGGCCACTTTGGAAGGCAGTTTGCATTTTCTTTTTTTAAAAATATATTTTATTGATTTTTTACAGAGAGGAAGGGAGAGGGATAGAGAGTTAGAAACATCGATGAGAGAGAAACATCAATTAGCTGCCTCTTGCACACTCCCCACTGGGGATGTGCCTGCAACCAAGGTACATGCCCTTGACCGGAATCGAACCTGGGACCCTTGCGTCCACAGGCCGATGCTCTATCCACTGAGCCAAACCGGTTAGGGCGACAGTTTGCATTTTCTAATAAAGCTAATTAAACTCTGAGCATAAGATCCAGCAATCACACTCATTGGTATTTACTCAAATGAGTTAAAAACTTAGTGTCACACAAGAGCCTGCCTATAGATTTTTAAAGCAACTTTATTCACAATTGCCAGAACTTGCAAGCAATACTAGTAAAGATATCCTTCAGTAGTAGGTACATGGATAAGCAGACTGTGGTCTGTCCAGACAATGGAGTATTAACAATAGAAAGAAATGATCATTCAAGCTACAAAAAAACACAGAGGCACCTTTAAATGCATGTTGGTCGGTGAAAGAAGCCAGTCTGAAAAGGCTACGTACTATATGATTCCTTGTATGTGGCATTCTGGAAAAGGCAAAACTAGAGAGAAAATAAAATGATCAGAGGTCTGTAGGGAGGGAGGAATAGAAGGAGCATGGGGAAGTTTTAGGGTAGTGAAACTGTTCTGTATCATACTGTTAGAGTAGATAGATGTGATTATACCTTTGTCAAAACCCATAGGACTGTTCAACACAATGAGTGAACCTTAGTGTGAACTATAAACGTTCGTTGGTAATTTATCAGTGTTCACTCATTAGTTGTTGTAAATACACTACCCTAGTATAAAATGTTAATAGAGGAAGCTGTGTAGAGAAGGGGTGGGAATGAGTGGAAGAGGGAGTCTATGGGACTCCTCTGTATATTTTGTTCAATTCTTTGCTCCAAAAAATAAAGTATTAATTTAAAAAGTTAATGTATTATGTGAAATGAAATGCATATCCTTTATATAGAATCATTTATTTTATTAAAAAACTAGAGGTCCAGTGCACGAATTCGTGCACAGGTGGGGTCCGGCAGGCCCGCCCACCCCAATCAGGCTGATCAGGGCCTGGCGGCTGGGGGGAGGGGAGGGGCCCCGCCCCTGGTCAAACTCTCAGTCGAACTCCTGGGCAAGGGGACAATTTGCATATTAGCCTTTTATTATATAGGATAAAGTTAAATGTCAATAAAACTACTTTACTAGTATATGTTCTCCAAGTATTAAAATAATTTTACCTTACCTCTGACATTTTTACTCACAACTTGATTGGTTATCTGAGTAGACTTTTCGTTTAACTTCTTAGCTTTTTTTTGAGGGATTGCAGAGTAGAGGTCAGAGTTAGGACAATGTCTTCTCTTGCTCAAATATTAAAAGAGTGCTATATTGAGTTTAAATTTTTTATTTAAAAGATTAATAATAGATACAGAGGCAGAGCTGCCTCAAACAGATGGTCAAACTGCAGCGGGAAGGCTGGGGAGGGTTGGGGGGCAGGAGGTAGGGGGGTAAGAGATCAACCAAAGGACTTGTATGCATGCATATAAGCATAACCAATGGACATAAGACACTGGGGGATAGGGGAGGCTAGGGGACTGTCTAGGGCAGGCGGAAAAAATGGACACATATGTAATACCCTTTGTAATAAAAAATAAAAAAAATGTTTTATTTAAAAGATTAAGTGTTTATACATAATTGCATAAATAAAATTACTGTTTATTTTAAAGTTCAAAAAAAACCTTGGACTTTGTGCAGAAAATTCCTTTTCTTTCCTTCCTGGGCTGCTTTTCCACAGTGTTCTAGAGCTGTCATTGCCAGATGTGGAAATGCCTGCTTTTAAAATGATAGTGTTACTATTATAAACAGGCTTTGGATTATTTGCTTCCTCCCTAAAAGCACTGTGTGTCGGGCAGATTATTGGCATTTTGAGGTCAAAATCAAATCTGGAAGTTAGGACTTACTATAAATAGAGAAACAGAGAGGAGAAAATGAGAAGAGGTATGTATCTGACTGACTATTTAAAAAAAAAATAAATATCAAGACTTTTAGAACCTAGATGTAATTAAACACATTTCATTACCTCTTCTAGGGGAAATGAAAATACTTCCTAAAAGGAATGCTGCTCTGTAATTTAGTTTCTGAACATATTGTAGGTATAAAGAAAGTATATTTTAGAAATTGAATTAATCCATTCAAATGTGTCCCATAATCTAAAATGCTTCCTTTTTATTAAAACAACATGAGATAGAATAAAAGTCTTTGGGAACTTTTCCTCATTTTTCACCATGTGACGATGACTAACACTTCATGTAATATCTAATACTTTATTTCTCTAACTTGCCAAAAATGAAAGGAATTAGGAAATATGACTGAGGTTATATTATATAAAAATACTTTTTAAGAAATTCTCAAGTGATATTTATATGTACGAAGTATACTCTTTTTTTAGGTGCTAAAAGTTGGTTTTAAACTTTTATTAAAAATATATTTGCAAACAAATTTAGGATGAAAAATGCTCATTTGAAAACATGTAATAACTCAATATTTGTATCACTGGGCATCTCTGAACATACACAGATGGCATAAAGTTAAAAATGAGAATGAAGCAGCGTTGCGTTCATGGAACAAATTCTCACTGTCAGTCCAGAGCTCCTCCTCCCCACATTTGGAGCTGAGACTCTGGGACACTGAAAGTCATGATAGCCTCCTGGCCAAAGCAGTGATACGGAATAAAAATCCAGTTAGAACACATTTTAAAAGCACATTTAAGGAGTAAAGGAAAACAATAAAGAAAAAGATAAAGAAAATCAATTTTGAGAAACTAAGATGGCGGCAGAGATAAACACCGGGAAGTTAATGCCGCTCACAACAATTGATTAATACCTCAGAGAAACAACACGGACTTCATCCAGAACCACAGGAAGCCTGGCTGACTGTAAACTCTACAACTAGAAGGAAGGAAAGGCACACTGAGACCCGCAGAAGCTGCAGGAGAGAAGCACAGAGGTACGGGGCTC